GCTTTGCCTTTGCCAACCCAAACCATTCTGTGCTTCTAGCTTCGCTCTTACTCAACCTAAATAACCTTAAACAGCCATAGTGCAGCCTTGTCCACTGCTTCTAGTACTCAACTTGCTGTCACTCTTTTGCAAGTATTTAGTTGTATAGTACAACCATGCCTTCTGTCAGTCATCTTGGGCAGAAATACATTGTGCCACACTCAAAAGTATATTTGCCTAACTTTGATGCTTTGACATTCTTCCTTGAGGCAGATCTCCAGCGAGTATGAACCAGCATAGCTGCATTATTGAGACAATTGTTCCGTTGTCTTTGGTTATGCCAATATATACACCGGTTGAGGATCTTGCTCTCTCCATTGTGCTTAAAAGGATTTGTTTTGAGCAATAAGTGAAATGTGAGAAGTCCAGGTCTTAAAAGTATCAAGGTGTTTAAACTTGGTCTGTGAGGGAAGTTTTGGAGCTTGACCTGTGCAAGACTAAATTGTTTATCTTCTCAACTGCTGTCTTTTCCCAGCTAGGATTACATTTTAATTTTAATTATATAGTTGTTTTTAAAGCCATGTGGCCAGTAAATGAGTATTAAAATGGTAACGTTCCCTGCATATGGCTTGGCTTTTTTTCTAACAGCTGAGTACATTTTGGTTCTTTTTTCTGATTTTTAGAGGGAATTTAGAACTGGTGAAATGTATGTGTCTGAGTGTTGGGAACTCTAGTGTCTGGTTGCCTTTTTTTTTTTTTTTTTTTTTTTTTTTTTTTTTTTTTTTTTTTTTTTTTTTTTTTTTTTTTTTTTTTTTTTTTTTTTTGCGTGAAAATGAATGGGATTAGGAGGCCAGGCTTCCTTAGGTGGGTTTGTGTGTATGTGTGATTTTTTCACTTTGGTGGTGGCTATATTAATGGAATAGAGCAGTGATTTTTTTTGCAAACGCCTCAGCAGAACAGCATACGTGCCAGAGTAGCTGGATAAATTCTTCATGGTTTGGCCAATCTGTGTTCTTTCCTCCATCAGTTACTGTGAATTGAGGCACTGATAGTTTGCAAAAAGAACAGTTCTTTACTGGGAACTGACCCAAGCCCAAACCACTTATTTCAGTAACACTGTCAGCCATCAGATAGGAATGTGACCCAAGTTAGATTTGAAGGCCTAGCTAAGGAGTCGTAACTAACTTACTCTTGACCCTTTGATGCATGTAATATGGAGTATCTTCTGCTAAACAGATCCTGAAATCTAAGACACTGACTACTCAACAAATTGTATGTTTATTTTTGCTTGTCCAGAAGCAGTACTGTGCCTGTTGAGGGCTGTGTTGTGTGAATAATTCCTGTGGTTACTCCTCTGTTCACTTCTAGGTGTCTGCAGTAAGCAGCAAACCACCAGCAAAGGGCAACATAATGAACAACTTCTTTGGAAAAGCTGCCATGAGTAAGTGCTTGATAACATGCATCTGTTTTCAGAAACCATTGTGTCAGGGACCAGCCTGCTGTAGTTTTTAAAAAAAAAAAAAAAAAAAAAAAAAAAATCCCAAGGGAAATGGGAAATTTTTTTTTAAGCTTAGTAGCAATTAAAAAAATCAGTGATATCAGGTATCTTGTTATACAGCTGTGATGGGAGGCATAAACAGAAAGGAGCAGT